CCAAATACATTTTATGCAAATATAATCTACGAGCACGAAGGTGCAAGCCGGCAAAAGATAAGTAATAGCGCAACAATTAAAGCGGGCGGCAAAACCGCGGGCACTCGTGTCGCACACGCGCACTTCGTCCAAGGTTTCGTTTCTCCTCCGCAGTGCATATCATACTGGATTATCGCTCTTGGATCGTCCTTCAAATGCGCGTATCTTTCCTCTCTACCCGTTGTCGTCGTTGTCAAAAAATCTTCATCAATTGATAAATTCGCAAACTCCGAATTAGTTATGCGTTTCCCGATTTTGAAACCGCTGCGCGAGATGAAACTGCAATGATACTAGCGATGAGATTGCAATGGCGAAGAAAAAAAATAGCAAAGCGAAACAAGACACAGACGTCGGGATCAGCCGAGAGATAGCTGTCAATACAATCGATGTGCACTTGCATGCAGTTCGTAACTTACTAAGCCCGCTGGTAACCAGGGGTAGTGAACGGAGGGATTTTTCCCACCACTGAGCCATCTCCATCACGAGTGCAGCGGGAGACCACGTGACTGGCTCGACAGTCTCGTACTTAAATAGAATGTAGAGCGCTATTGGGGCTCCGTACACATGATCATTTTCTTTTATGTATAATATAAAAAAAATATATTAAAAACGATACATGAGTATACATTGATGTATTATAAATAAAATAAATTGATTATTTTATTAACACATGAAATTGATATTATCTTTTCTCTCTTTGTAGTTTTCATATCTTTGTAGTTTTCAGATCTTTAAACAAAATTTCTTTAAATATATATTATATTTTTAGAAGTCTGGAAAGCATGATCTATGAAAAATAAAAGATTACATTTTAGTTTAGATCCATTTAAATATTTGTAAAATTTATTACGTAGATTTAAAAAAATTAATAAATGTTATTATAACGATCTAACAAGTAGAATTTTTTAAGATTAAGTAATATAAATTTAAAAATAAATTTTAGCTTTTGCTATCCATTTATATATAAACATATATGTATATGTAACATATATGTATAACTAGATACTCTTTCCATTTTATTATTATTGCAATTAGATCTTGCTTTTAGTTTTCTTAAATTGCATTATCGCTTACAAAAATGTGTACAGTTGAATATGACGATACGATTTAAATGTACATAAGTAAACCATAATATAACAAGTTCGATTATTAAAGCGTGAGTTTGCTAATAGATTCAAATAACTGTCAAGATTAACCATTTCTACGGATTAATCATTCCGAACGTCAAATTTATTATATTATTGACGAATTACATTATTTGATCATTAGCTTCTGCATGTATCGTCTCCCTGATACTTTTTACTTCTCTAACTGGTATAAATGACACGTGTCTCTGTGAAACATGTATGCTACTTACAAATGCACTTAGGTACTAGGCATCATTTAACACTGTTGCGCATGCATAAAAAAGTCTCTCTGTCTATTCCACCGATCTGATGGCAACGACACGATGCGAAATACGTGGCCATGGGCGACACAGGGTGGGAATACGTCACGGTGAGAATAGCGGACACGAAAGTCATATCAGAGGTGTGCGACGCGCGGGAAACGAAAGGCTGGGAAGGGAAGGGATGGCGTGACGATGTAGTGGTTGACCGGATGGAGGTGGCACGCTTTGAACGGAACGTTGAGGTTTTACGATTGAATTCGTCCAACCGACAGAGACGATCTGCCGCGTAGATTATATTGCACTTATGCGACACACACCGCACTGTCAGACGACTTTAATGACGACAAACGTTATTTTTTGCGATAACTGTTTTCAGATCAGAAACGCTGATAATCATTGATATTCGTATCTCGAATATTATTGAAGCAAGCAAAAGCCAATTGAAATAATCTAAAGCGGAAATATTTTTGATAAAGGATTCAGAAGTTCTATATTTGCAAGCTGCGAAAAGCAATCCTTTTTAGAGAAAAATTAAAAGCCAAATATACACGTGTGTATTGTAACATAATGATGAGAAATGTATGTGATGCGTATATGCAATAAATTGTACACAATATTTATGTATATATTTGTATAAAATAATTTATGTATTTATATTTAAAAATTTGATAATTAAGATAAAAAATAGAACTTTTTTTTCCTAACTGAGCACAGAAAAAAACTCGCAAATAGACACTTTTATTTTTTACATTTCATATATATTTTATTTCAACAACATATTATTGTCGTTCTCAATGATTATATTACAATAGTTGTTTTAAGCAACTATTTTTATGATAATTGTTTAAACTAATTTATGATAGATATATCTTTCTACACCGTGTCGAAAATATCAACAAAAACTTTGAAAGAATCGATATTAAAAAAAAAAAATTAATAAATTAATAAATTTTTTTTAACTAAAAATTCTTGAAAAAGGTAAAAAAATTATGAAAATAATTATTTAATTATTACGATTATATACGATACATGGAACGCATAATAATATTATAGAATTTCTATTGTTTCTGATATACATATTTATTGGAGAAAGTTTTGCCGACATCTATTGCTATATTAATTAAAAAATTCTAAGAGCTTCTCAAAAAAGATTACATCAATAAAGACAAATACAAATTTAAATAAATTTCGTCTATTATCTCGTTTTTTAAATCGCGCGTCGTTGAGTCATTTATGATATTCAATAAGATTGTATACATGAGCTATTTCGATATATAAATTTAAATTAATATATAAATTTTCAATCGAATGCATTATTTCACATCGCATTATTTTACAGTTTATGACGATATTTCTTAAAAATTGTAACGTAATATCCGTGTTTCAAAGTGTATTGTATAATTGACAGCGATAGCATCATTGTTTCACGCCTATGAATGCATCGTTTGCGATTGCCGATACGGCAGGCGAGCAACAACTTGGCGTCGCAACCTAACTTTGGGACTATTCCGTAAGATTATAGCTTCCGTAAGATTATGCTGGCTTTATGTATGAATGAAATGCACAGACGTAAGTGCCAAAGAATAAAAGAAAGGACTCAAATTGTATACCGATTACTGCTCCAAGTTCCATAAGAATTTGTTTTTTTTAATTTAATAAATAATTCCATCATAGAGACAAATGTGATTTTGCTATGAAAGCAAAAGGATTGCAAAATTTAATTACTGTGTATAACAAACAAATTTGCATATTCGACAAATATTTTGCATTTGTTGTAAATCATTTTTATACAACGGCTACAATACAAAAAAAGAATAAATATTTGTTTGTAAATAATTTAATTTAATCGACAAAGTATTCTAGAAATTGTCAGGTAAGTACTAAGTATTGCGTACAATGCAAATTGAATAACTAAAAACACGTGTATCATATGGAAATACGCAGAAAATGAAATTTAAAGTGCGTGTGGTGTAACATGTTCGTGAGAATAATTCGATCGTAAAATGAAGCTAGTCGTGGAAAAGGATTATATATATATATA